ATTCATACAAATAAAATCACTTGAGAATCCCAGGACTTTGGGAGGCCGAGACGGGCGGATCACAAGGTCAGGAGATCGAGACAATCATGGCTAACACAGTGAAACCCCGTCTCTACTAAAAATACAAAAAATTAGCTGGGTGCAGTGGTGGGTGCCTGTAGTCCCAGCTACATGGGAGGCTGAGGCAGCAGAATGGCGTGAACCCGGGAGTTGGAACTTGCAGTGAGCCGAGATTGCGCCACTGCACTCCAGCCTGGGCGACAGAGCATGACTCTGTCTCAAAAAAAAAAAAAAAAAGATCACTTGAGATTTACTGTGAATTCTTCAGCTTCCTTCACTCACCACAATTATTTTATAATATCCTCATGTTCTTATGTGAATGAGGCATGCCTTGATTTCAATGGTTCATTGTATTTTGCTACATTAATATTTCTCAAATTGTTTAACAATGCACCAAATAATGGATACTTGATATGTTGACTCAGTTTCTGAATTTTATTTAGAAATTAGATACTAAGAATTATAATGTAAAAATTGAGAAATTAATCTTATTCTGACCTCGTTAACAAAAACCATGAATAACTACAAAAAATAAACCCTTCAGGATGCACCTGCCACAGCTGAAAGAGGCTGTCTGGGGGGAATGAAATGTGAAAACCCAGAGCCAAACAGGGACACAAAAGCAGGTATCGCTGGAGGAACTTGAAGCTTTTGTGAACAGGAGAAGTTGACTTCAACTGTGATAGCCATTGCAACCATACACTTGAAATTCAGCCCTGAGTAGACTCACAGAAACGTGGTTAATAAAGGCCCAAGAGAATGTAATATGTGATCATCTCCTAGAAGAAAAAATTAAATGCAAGAAAATAAATTACAAGTGAAATGCAAACTGAAATTATACATGCGTTTCATTTTTATATAAATGTGAAAGCAAATAAAACTATGTTATTAAAAAAAATCCTGAGACAATTTGTCAGCAGATTTGTGTTTCAGGGCACATGTTAGCAAAGTTTCTCTGCAAGTAGCCATGTGCTATGCACTCAAAACATAGATCTATACAAAGAAATTAAGATTGTAAAAAAAGGGAAAATCAAGAGGAAGTACAATTATTATCTTTGTAATTGCTATAACATATAACGATATAAAGCGATAAAAATATATGTTATATTTTATATGTAAGTGCCAACTGAGGATAAACAAGAAAGTGTGGTGAGAAGGAGGAATTCAAAGCACACAGTTACACTATCTCTGTATTTCACATCAAGGCCATCACAGTGTCTGCATTAGAATCCAATTATTTACAATTCTTACTGTAAACCTTATGGTAACCAATACCATATTTATAAAAAATGAATTAAATAATCTGTTAATAGAGAAATAAACATCATTATAAAATGCTAATTTAAACAAAAAATAACAGAAAAATTAATATTACCTTTAAAATAGAATTTATTATAGCTGATTTTAAAAAAAACAAGACCCAACTGTTAGCTTTGTACAAGAAAGTTATCCTACATATTCACAAATAGAAAAGATAGAGATAGGAAAACATGGATTATGAAAACACGAACCAAAAGAAAGCTATAGTAGCCATGTAAATTGCAGACAAAGTCGACATCAAAAAAACACTTTTAGGACTTAACAGGGATATTACATAGAACAAAGTGACCAGTTTTTTTAAAAGACACAAAAAAGACTTAACAAACGTATAATAGATGAAGAATGCACCATTTGTTGTGATTTACAGAACAAATGTGATAAACGGAGTAAAGATGTCAGTGAAACCATGCACCTAAGGGTGTCCTAGGGACTATGAACTTTCTTTGTATTCATGGAGGGCACCACTGAGAACTTCCTCTTGAATTTCTCCCTGTTGCCGCCCACACCAATCCTGATCCTGGAGCCTGCTGGACCAAGCTGATGCTGCAGTCAGTGAAGGTGAATCCAGAGGCTGTGCAGGAGAGGCTCAGAGAACTGCTGGGCTTTACAATTTTTCCCCTGAGACTCCACCAGTGAACTTCACACAGGTCTTCTGCAAACACAGAGAGAACAGGCAGAACAGGCCCGTGTGGAGCAGCCACAGCTGGACCTGATTCATAAGGGACACTAATATTGAGGGTGATGAGAAGGGAAGCCCAGATCAGTGCAGACCCCATGGTGCGGACACTAAGGAAGGACACAGACATGGGGTGGCTCCTCACCAGGGCCTGAAGGAACAGCGGATGAGTTGCCTTTCATCAGGAGGGGAGGGGACACATTTCCATGTCTTTCTTTTTGTGGCCGTGGGTGCACCGCTCAGCATTGCTCATCCATCCTCTGTGTCTGCATTTCAGGGAGGGAAGGGTCAAAGGATTCCTGGGTTTGGATGCACAGGGTTAATCTACCCCTTCCTCTTTTTTATTCTATAAATTGGATACTGCTCAGGTATCTTCATAGCAGCAAACATTATTGACAAATAAGTCCAGTAAGAACACAAGAGAAACATTCCCAGAGGAAATGGACATCTGTCTGTAATCAGTGCATTTAGAGCTGCCAACCACTGTTCCTGACAATGAGGCAAAGTTTAGTTACAATGATGAAAATGCAGATCTATACTTTGTCCAGGCTGGGGTTAGTAATTATCATTATCTTGAGATTGTTTTGTCGCAAAAGAGTCAATGTGGAAATATGTGTATTTATCTAAGTAAAGAGTTCACATGGAGACATGTTTGCTTGTCTGAGACAAGAGTCCACATGAGGAAATATCTGTTTCCTGAGGAAAGAGTAAATGTAAGGACATACGTGGTGGTCTGAGGGAAGAGTCCATGTGGGGACATGTGTGTTTGTCTGAGGAAAGAATCCTCATGAGTAAAGGTGTGTTTGTCTGACAGAAGAGTCCACATGTTGACAGGTGTATGTACCCATCTCCTTTCAGAGACAGTGTATGCCTGAACTGAGCTGAAGTTTGGGGAAATTCTTTCTCAAACAAGAAAAGAAAATAATGCTCTGGGTTGTTTGCTTGTCAGGAAGAAAAAACCTGGGTCACATAGAAAATTGATTTTTTTTAATGAAAGGTCTTTAGTGAATGGAAGCATCATATATGCAAACGAGGAAAGTTACTCTATTCTTTGTTGCATCTCATAACATCTCATAACACTCCCAAATACATTATTAGGTAATTTTATACAGTGTGTATTTAATCCCAAAGTTAATGAACTGCTAAATGTATTTTAATTGTATATATTTAGGTTTATATTTTCCATAACAAAAATGTGAGCTTGGACAAATTATTTGTGTCATGTCTCAACCATTGCATATCACCAGAATAGTCTTAACTCTTCTTAAACAGTGCCTGTTTTACTTATTTTATGCCCACTCTCTAAATTCCTGGAATATCCTGTCTGTTTACTTGACTATAGTTTTGGCTTTTACATAATTTAAAGAAATGAAACTATACTGTGTAATTGAAATGACTTGACCTAAGAAAGTGGAAAATGAAGTTGCTGACATAAGTAACTTTGAAAAATGAGTAGGTTCTATAAGCTTAAATTGTAAAGAAATCACACATAAGCACTCTATGTAGTAGATAAACCTGTTTCCTACAAGGGTACAGCTTTGCATTTCTGATGCCGCTGTGCATGTGTCCTGAAATTGTGCAGCTAATTAATAAAAAGGCAGATGGTGGGATGGGATTTCTCACTTTGCAGTGGGTGGTTATGGACAGTCAGAAAAGGAAGGTTAGGAAGGTCCGTGTGGCAGCACAGTTAGGTGGAGAGACTATTGTGTTCTCATTTCTAATGTAATAAAGTTACAGAAGATTAGATACATAAATAATTTTGATGTATCCATAAACACAGGTTCATATAAACATGCACATTTACTAGGCCAATTGGTTGAGAGGTCCTAGAAGTACTTACACCTCATTAACATAGCCGGTATCACAATATTTTATTTTAATACTATTCTTTAAAATTAGAAACAAGCAATCTTTGGAAAAATGGCTGATTCTATGTGCAAAAAAGGTAACATAGAAAACAAGCTTAGAATCTATTGTAACACCAGGAAACAGGGAAGTGTTCAAAAACAAAAGGATGAGCTGTGCTGTAAGGATGCAGGATCCAAAATAATTCAGCTCCCAGCACCTAACAAAGCTGTGGTGATTTGAACAATAAAATGAATAATGCAGCATGGATCTTCTTCAGATTATGAAATAGACATCCGTAAACCAATAAGGATATTAATAGATGATTAAGTAAAGAAATAATGGGAAGAACACATCTCCTTACAGAAGTGTTCCAAATATCTCCGGTGGATAGTCCTCCAATCAAGTAGGTGAAGTTTAAACACTCATGATTGAGATAAGAGACATGGTAAAAAATAATCAGTATTAGTGTATTTTATAATGAGACTCCAGATATAATGCCAAATACATGATCTATGAATGAATAATTTTTTATGTTTTTTATCTAAATTTGTGCGCGCGCACACACACACACACACACACATATTTTTCTGCAATACCCACTGATAAGGGAGTAAAAAGCAACCACAGACTTGGAGAAAATACTTCCAAGTCACATATTTGTTAAATGAATTATTTTAATTTGTTAAATGACTTTTATAATCAACATGCAAGTAAACTTACAACTAATCAAAAGAAAACAATGCAGTCAAAAATGAACCACCTATCAGGAGAGCCATCTCACCAAAAATTATATAAAAATTGTTAAATACAATTTTTTATTAGGGACATGTGCATTTAAATAAAAATTAGGTATCACTACTCACCTATTGACATGGTTAAAACTCACAATTCTCATGATGATAAATGGCAATATGAATGTGAAAAACCAAGAAATTTCATGCACTGTGGGTGGGAATTCAAAATGTTACATGCACAACATGAGATTTTTTGGCATTTCTTAACTAGAGATAAAAGAGTTAAAATGTGAACTTGCTTTTGTGTTTCAAAATATTTCCAACATTGATTCAGAAATTGATGTTTGCAAAGATTGATTCAGAGGAAGTTCTGTATCAGATTTGTTAATTTTATTCATTCTTCAATCCCTGAAATTTACTTACAGAATAAATTTTGTATGATAAGTATCTCAAATAACTGAAATTTCTCAAATACACATTGATATTGGTCATTTTCTTTAATGTCTTAATGTCATTTTCTAAGAAAGTCTTCAATCTAATAATCTTTGTCATCTCCTCCATGCCAGCACAGCTGCCTCCTTCCTGGGGTTTCTGACACTCTCCGGATGTGGTTTTCACACTGTGTCTCTTGTACAGTAATACACGGCTGTGTCCTCAGATCTCAGGCTGCTCAGCTCCATGTAGCCTGTGCTCGTGGACGTGTCCGTAGTTATGGTGACTCTGCCCTGGAAGTTCTGTGCGTAGCCTTTGTTACCATTGTAAGGGGAGATCAGTCCTATCCACTCAAGGCCTTGTCCAGGGGCCTGTCTCACCCAGTGCATGTAGTAGCTAGTGAAGGTATATCCAGAAGCCTTGCAGGAGAGCTTCACTGAGGCCCCAGGCTGCTTAATCTCAGCCCCAGACTGCACCAGCTGCACCTGGGAGTGGGCACCTGTGGAGAGGAGACAGGAGTGGATGAATGTCCCCTTGACTGGATTCAATTCACTTCTCAAGAATGAGACATGGGAGGAGCCCCTTACCTGTGGCTGCTGTCACCAAGAGGAGGATCTTCCAGGTCAAGTCCATGGTGAGAAGCTGTGCTCTCAGGGGCTTCTCTTGAGGTTGGATGCAGTTGTTGAGTGATGTTCTCAGAGCACAGAACATATTTACCGCCGTGGATATCAGCATATTTGCATATTCATAAGACAGAGCATTTCATAGCTCAAAGCCTGATCCATGATAAGAAAGGGAAGATAAGTGACACATCAGCTACACAAGAGTGAGATGCTGATGGTCCAAGCCCTAATCCTACTGGAGGAAATGCACACCCTGCTCCATTTACAAACATTTGTGGGCAGAGGTCCTTTCACTAAAGAATAAGCCCAGATAGAACAGGCTCCTCACTGCAAACATGCATTTGATTAGCATAGAGACCACCTGGATCATTTTTGGGACCATCATTCTCCATGACACTGAGAAGGTGCCTTGGTCTTTTCCTGGACCGTCAGGTACCAGCACAGCTCACTGGTGACTCTCAGAAAGTTACTGCTGATGTCCCACTTGAGTGTCCAGCAGGCACTGAGATCTGCTGTGTGCTCTGGAAACAGTGTCTCCAGCACCTGCCTGGTGTCTGATCCCCCAGGCTCTTCAAGAGAAACACTCTTGGTTTACAGATTGGCCCTGTGATGCATAATTAGAGCTGATTTTCTCATTTCATGGACCATGGGAATCAGAAGATATAACAGGAGTTTGAAGTTCTTTATGAACTCTCTAATTTGTGTTCTCCATAATTTTGGCTTACGTTTTTTGAACTCTGTTTATTAGATTTTCATGAAGTATTTAAATATTTCCAGTTCATATCCATAGATCCTCATCTTTACATATTGATTTCTGACTCACTAGGTCTGTGCACCTGCCACACTCTCAGATCCACCACTGCCCTGTCACTCACACAACACAGGCAACATTACTTAAAACTGAAGTCTGAAATTCCTATGAATTTCTTATTCATTGGAATATAGTTTCTTTAACTAGTCTGTACCCTTTGAATTAGTAATAACATGCCCTTCCTTTATATTCTCACTATTATGATATTGTAGTCTTAGAAACCCACTTTAAAAATAGTTTTCATTTCCTTAAGTTATATGAATGTTTTGGATGTAGCAGGACATTTAAAGGCACGTCAGTGACCTATTGAAGAGTTATTTTAGATTGTTTTTTTCTGACAAAGGAAGACCCAGGCCCTGAGCCTTCTCTCCAACCTCCTGTGCACCTGCTCTGGGGCTGGAACCTGTGCTTGGTGGCTCCCAAGTACCCCCTCCAGCCAAGCCCTTGCCTTGCAGTGAGGTTGCCGTGGTGGCTCACAGACATTTTCCCCCACAGTCTCCAGCCCACCATGAAGTGTCTGTGTCCTGTTGTGTCACTCCTTCAGTGACACAATATACTGTTGACACCAGGTCTTTTAAGAATTGGTTAGCCTTAATAAACCTATTGAACTCTACAGGGAGACCCGAAGCAAAGATTCTATGACACAGAAGGGAGTCCCTTCTATGAAGTTTCACATTTCCTGAGTCAGTGAACACACAGTGAATACAAAAACTTGTAGGATTTGGGGAGTGCCTTGTTTCTTCGTTGGGCTCTTGCAGTTGAATGTTGCATCTGAGAATATCCGCGGGTGCAGATACATTCAGAATAAAGCCAACTTTGTATCTACTGTACCAATAACACATATTTTCCTTTCCTCCTAATTTCTAGCCTATAAAATGAGCCTCCTACACAGACACAAGGCCTAGGTTTATGACTTTTTTCTCTTAGAGATCTGAGGCAAACAGAACACAGGTGGAGACTTGGGAAGTGCATGCAATCATGTTTACAATGTTAATAGTTCTTTTTAGAAGATACTTATTCAACTTCAGTCTCTCTCCCTTCCTTACTGTTTTCTAGGGTCCTGCAGACATCACCCCATTCCACTTTGTTTTATGCATTTTTTTTTCTCAGCTAGGAACCCTGAAAATGCCCCATGATAAAAGAATCTGAGGTCAACAGATTTGCCAAGACCTTTTGTTCCAAAAATGTACGTCAGAGGCTTCAAATTTCCCCACTGTCCTTGTCTTATTCTCTGCTACTGACTTTCAGTCTCCCTATGTTCTCCTCCTCAGACAGAGTCTGCGCATTGTCACACTTTCATCTTTAACCCAGACCCATATATTATGGGTTGTTGCCACTGGATGGCATTTCTGATAGAAAAAGACTAACCTGGAAATTTTAATGTTATTTGAGGATTTATGTGCTAATGGTGTTAGAGTGTGAAGTTCCTAGTGCTTGTTGGCTGTTTCCACAGAATTGGGGAAAATTCACAATTTCCCCACTGCTGTCCTTTTGTGTTTACTTGAGGAGAAGAACAGGAGGCACTGCTGAATTATGGAATCCTCCTACACTATTTCCAGGAGTCAAATCTACCTAAACGTGTGTTCTATGGGTACTGTTGGGGTCAAGAGAAACAGATTAAAACAAAGTGGGATAGAGGTGATGTCTGCAGGACCCTAGAAAATAGTGAGAAAGGAAGAGAGACTGAAGTTGAATAAGTATCTTCTAAAAAGAACTATTAACATTGTAAACATGATTGGTTGCACTGACCATCAGAAGCGAACTGATACCCCAGATATAGAAGAGATAAAGGAAAGGCACTTACTGCTTCCTTACACAAAGACTGAAGAAAATAAAAGGCTTTGACAGAAGAAGAGAAGGAGGATGAATAGTCTGAGGAGCAGATCACCAGGAACAACCAAAAGAGATAAAACCGGTCTTAAAGTGGTGTTTCAGCTCCACAAGCAGCTGAGGAAAGTAAAAGAAAGTCAACACCTTGCATATACTGAGTTATTGATAGACAAGCATTTATAGTTGTGTGGCTGACACAACTAAGAAAACAAAAACCTTTGCACGAAAATACAGTTTGGATTGAGGATACACAATTCTTATTATTAAAATTATACTGATCAGTCATCGCTAGTATTACTCTGATAATATGGAGGATTATAAATTGAATTGAATCTCTGTTCTAAGGTTAAGTTTTTGTAGGTGACCAAAACCAAAAAATAAAACAAGACAAAATGTGAGTTACAAGGAAGAAGTGCTAAGAGATCCTGGGGTAGACCTTTTCTTTACAAGGTCAAAAAATAGCAAGTTCAAACAGGAAACCCCACCCTCCCCGGGGACCGAATGTGGAGCTGCCTCCTAAGGGAGCCCTTGTGTCTGAGCGCCCCCTGCTGTACTGAGTGTTTCCTGGGAGTTCTGAGCACTCCCTATTGTCCTGAGCACCCCCTGGTGGTTCTGAACGCCCCCTGGTGTCCCCAGCTCCCCCTGCTGATCTGAGCAGGCCCCTTGCTGTCCTGAGCTCCCTACACCAGCCCCTGGGTGTTTCTGAGCTCCCTGGTGAGTCTGAGCGCCCCCTGGTGTGCTGAGTGCCCCCTGGAGTCCTGAGTGCCCCAGGGTTTCCTCAGCGCCCCCTGGTGGTTCTGAGTGCCCCCTGGTGTGCTGAGTGCCCCCTGGTGTCCTAAGTGCCCCAGGGTTTCCTCAGCGCCCCCTGGTGGTTCTGAGCACTCCCTATTGTCCTGAGCGCCCCCTGGTGGTTCTGAGCGCCCCCTGGTGTGCTAAGTGCCCCCTGGAGTCCTGAGTGCTCCAGGGTTTCCTCCGCGCCCCCTGGTGGTTCTAGACACTCCCCTATTGTCCTGAGCGCCCCCTGGTGGTTCTGAGCGCCCCCTGGTGTCCTAAGTGCCCCAGCGTTTCCTCAGCGCCCCCTGGTGGTTCTGAGCACTCCCTATTGTCCCAAGCGCCCCCTGGTGGTTCTGAGTACTCCCTATTGTCCTGAGCGCCCCTGGTGGTTCTGAGCACTCCCCTATTGTCCCAGGCACCCCCTGGTGTTCTGAGCCTCCCTATTGTCGAGCGCCCCCTGGTGGTTCTGAGCCTCCTATTGTTCTGGCGCCCCTGGTGGTTCTGAGCACTCCCTGTCCTGGCGCCCTGGTGGGTTCTGGCAGCCCCCTGGTGTGCTAGTGCCCCCTGGTGTCCTGAGTGCCCCAGGGGTTTCCTCCAGCGCCCCCTGGTGAGTTCTGATCGTTCCCTATTGTCATGGCGCCCCTGGTGGATTCTGGTCATTCCCTATTGTCCTGAGCGCCCCCTGGTGGTTCTGAGCGCCCCCTGGTGTGCTGAGTGCCCCCTGGTATCCTGGGTGCCCCAGGGCTCCTCAAGCGCCCACAGGTTCTGATCATTTCCTATTGTCCTGAGCGCCCCCTGGTGGTTCACAGGCACCCTCTGGTGTCCTGAGTGCCATCTGGTGTCTGGAAGCACCCCCTTGGTGGTTCTGAGCACCCCTGGTGTCCTGAGTGCCCCCTGTCACATCTAGGCAGACCCCTTGCTGTCCTGAGACCCCTGTGGTGGTTATGAGCATCCCCTGGTGTGCTGAGTGCCCCCTGGTGTCCTGAGTGCCCCAGGGTTTCCTCAGCGCCCCCTGGTGGTTCTGAGCACTCCTATTGTCCTGGCGCCCTGGTGGATACAGGCGCCCCCTGGTGTTCTGAGTTCCCCTGATTTCTGGCTCCTGGTGATCTGAGCACTCCTTGTATTCTGAGACCCCTGGTGTCTTGGGCACACCCTGATGTATCAGTGGTCCTGGTGATCTGAGCACCACCTTCTATTCTGAGCACCCCTGGTGTTCTGAGCACCCTCTGCTGTCCTGGCATCTCCAGATTTCTAGCATGAGCACCCCCTTGAGATTCTGAGAACCCCTGCTTTCCTGTGTGCCTCCTGGTGGTTCTGAGCACCCCTGGTGGTTCTTAGCCCTCCATGTTGTCACAGGCACCTTGTCATGTCCTGAGTGCCCCCTGGTGTCCTGAGCTCCCATGGTGTCCTCAGTGCCCCTTGGTAATTCTAAGTGCCTCCTAAGGGTTTGGAGCGTCCTCTGGTGTCCTGATTGCCCCATGGTGCCCTGAGCACCCCCTGGTGGTTCTGAGCGCCCCCTGGTGTCCCAAGTTCCCTCTGGTGTCCTGAGCACCTTGGTTTCTGAGCGCCCTCTGGTGTCCTGAGTGCCACCTGTGATCTGAGCACAGACCCTGCTGTCTGAGCCCCACCCCCTGGTGGTTCTGAGGCCCCCTGGTGATTCTGGGCACCCCTGGTGTGCTGAGTGCACCCTGGTGTCCTGAGTGCCCCAGGGTTTCCTCAACGTCCCTGGTGGTTCTGAGCACTCCCTATTGTCCTGGTGAGCGCCCCCTGGTGGTGCAGGCACTCCTATTGTC